GAGCCATCGGTATGGCCGAAATGGGGGCAACACAGGTCCAAATTGCCAAAAGGTTTTGTTGTACACCATTGACAGTAGCCAGGCTGATTCAACGGTACAGGCAGACAGGGAGGACACAGGACAGGCCTAGAACCGGACGACCTCGAGTGACAACTCCACTGGAAGACGGTCAGATACGTCTCATTCAACTGCGAAACAGATTCGTAACGGCGACGGCGACGGCAGCAACAGCGTTGGGACATCCCATTAGCCAACGTACAGTACTACGACGACTTCGTGCTGCTGGAATCCGAGCGTATCGTCCTTTCCGAGAAATGGTACTGACTGCTCAACATCGACGCCTGAGACTGCGATGGTCGAGGCAGGTTCGACGCTGGTAAGTGAGAAATTGGCGTCGAGTGCTGTTTACTGATGAAAGTCGGTTTAACTTGTTTCGAAATGACGGCAGAAAACGAGTTTATCGACGCAGAGGGGAACGTTTGGATCCGGCGTGTATTCGAGAGGTCCATCCATTCGGCGGGGGAGGTGTGGTGTGGGGCGGTATTTGTGGAGATCAGAAGACTGATTTGGTGATTATACAGGGAAACCTGAACGCTGTGCAATACAGAGACCAAGTGTTGCAGCCAGTTGTGCTTCCGTTCTTACACACCAACAGCAGGGTACAAAACGACAATGCCAGGCCCCCATACTGCAAGACTGACTCGGAACATTCCAAACCAGCAGAACGTTGACGTTTTGCCCTGGCCTGCCCACTCACCCGACATGAATCCTATTAAACATCTGTGGGACCATCTTGACAGACAGATTAGAGCACGCCATCAGCCTCCCGTCAACAGACAAGAATTGCAGAAGGGCCTGAGAAACGAGTGGCAACGGATTCCAGTCCACGTCATCAGAAGACTGACGTCATCGATGAGGCGGCGTATCGCAGCATGCATTGAGGCAGCTAGACGTCATACATGCTAGTGAAGGCAACTGTGTCGACAATGAACTTGTAGTGTGTCTGACAATTTTTTGGTGACATTTCAGACAACTTTTGAAAAAGAAATTTCACCATTGTTTACCTTAAACTTACATTACCTGTGATTGCACAATTTCATTCAAACTGTGGTTGATCAGTCAGTTGTTACCCTTCCCTAGATTATATTATAATTCACAACAAAACCTCTACTTGTTATTTTTTTATCGATCATGGAACTCGACCATTTGCTTTCTTTTGCCGCCCAGTTTATTATTTTCCATTGAAAATAACAAACCAGACAAAATCTTTTGTTCAGATTTTATCCATCTGTAAACTCTAATATGAAATATTCGGTTTCCGACGTGGGTACAATATGTGAAGCCCATTTCTGGTGTCCCCCGCCGCGGTATAGCTGGAATATTGCTTAAAGCGGCGTAAAATCATACTCACTCACTCTCTCACTCACTCTCTTACTAATATGAAATATCTTGTTTCCTTCTGTGGGAAACCAGCAGTATCCAAAAAAGAGTCCAAAATGTTCCTGACATCACTGACCCGAGATGTTTAACAACATTGTCTGGATTAAATACCATGTTATTCAACGTCTTCGGTACAATGGAGACAGCTCTTTCTCCGACGATTTCAAATAGGATGTTTGATCAAGGTAACAACATTCAGGGCTTGAGTAAAACTTTCAAAATGTTTTATGGCAGACATGTGGGGAACGAATCGGTGACACTGATGATGTATAATGCAAATCTCTATTTTGACATGTTCCATTTGTTCCCGTGTTTTTTTAAGTGAACAATTGACTTGCCTTGGAATGTGTTTGTAGCAGGTGCACCAGTGGGGCAGGATACGCTCACATTTTCGCGAACACATAGTATCATCATTATTTGATAGTGATTCATAAAAAACTGATTACGGTATAGTCAGAATCTTATGACTGGGAGGTGTTTGGTCGTTTATATCTATAAGATTGGTCGGGTATCAGTCTTTGTGCACTTCTAACATATAATCCAACAACTTGCATACGTTTTCATGCAATGGATGCAGACAATCATATTCCCCAAGAACTGAGCAAGTGTGATGTTCTCATAATCCCGAACCATACTTGAATGGGTCCTCTCACATATTGTCATTAACAAGCATCATTTGGTTTCAGTGAAGTCCATCTGTTCAATATAGCTGTGTCGTATGTTTAGTGCACACTCGTGACATTTGGGGGTATTTCATCAATACATGATCCTCTATAGCCTTTTCTCCAAATCCCAGTGGGGATTCCGGTTAGAACAGGTCCCCGGCAGCTTGTGCTCGTCGTAAGAGGCGACCATTGGATCGAGTTGTGCTTAAAGCATTATCTCGTAACACTGAAAACCTGACCCCGGGGTAGAATGTGTCCCCGGCACCCCATTGCCGTTGTCGTAAGATGCGAAAATTAGGAGCCTGGGATTTTGTAACTACTGGTAAGAATTTGTCCCTAGCAACTTACTAAATGTTTGCTTGGCATTCTTGAAGTTGGTGAGTAAAAACGAAAACGTACAACTTCATGCATACCAAATTCTGGTCATTGCATATAGCGACTTTTCGATTCTTTGACCGTTATCAAGCTCGAGTGATAATGGGGATTGATAACGGTGTAAGAATCTACATCTAAACGTCGCTATATGCAATAAACTAGAAGTTGTTTCCTTAAAGGTGTACGTTTCCCTAGCAACTAATGCTGATCGTGAAAGGTCCTAATGGATCGGATAGTCAGACTCGGTGAGGGGGGGCCCAGTCGTCTAAGGCGCCGCGATTCGCTGTGCAGAGTTGCGTCCCTTGGGCACGCAAGTCACCTATTAGGTTCGAATGTATGTGGGTTCGAATCCCGGTTCGCCTCGATTATGTTTCTAGGTTTGTCAGCACTATAGCCGTGCTCGTGTGTTTCACCGAAGTGGTAAACGTCTGAAACCTGCATCACTTCGGGCTTTCCACATTAAGCTGACACGTTATGATATAACTGGAATACTGTTAAAAGCGGCGTTAAACCCAACTCACTCACTCACTCACTCACTCACTCACTCGGTGGCGAGATTCATGTCATCGTACATCCACTTGATAGTCTGGTCCCGATTATTAACAGACCGCCACCATACGACTGGAATGCTGCTGAAAGTGGCGTTAAACAACAAATAAACTACATTTACTTCACTGTGACATGCAGACACTGAATAGCACTGGCCTCAGAACATAGCTTTGTCATGTACCAGAATGACAGGCAAATAACTGTGTTAGGCCTTGATTTGAAAGGGCCCCTGCCTTTAATTCAAAATAGTGTATGACATAGAAGGCAACACCTCTGTATATACAGGTGACAATGTACGTTGACCGACGAGACATTTGTATGGACTACTGGTATATCGTAGACATTCAAATTATTATTATTCAATTTGGCGTAACATTGAATATCTGTATTAAGAGTGGTATATAGCTGTGTAAGGCCTTGGTGTTTAAGGACACCTGATTTCAATGTTATTCGTGATGTACACGGTCATCAAAATATTTCAGATGGACCACAGCCTCGAGTCGCCATAGTTACTAAAACGTTTCTGTTGAAATTTCTTCGACTGCGTAACAGATCTCGTATCACCCCTAGTTGTCTTGTCGCCTTCCAATATAACCTCAAACAATATTACCCATATTCACTGCTAATCTGTGTTCAGGCGGTATTTATGCCTTTATTAATAGTATCTGCTTCCAAACTGTTATTTTATTGATTAAGTTGTCTGTAATATCAATTCGATAAGTGAGTAATATTTGATCGAGTAAATCTAAGGAATTTCTTATCATCCCTTTAAAGTGACTTTGTCGCAGAAAGGTACCTTTGAAGATGTCATCTTATTTTAGAGGTACGAAAAGCCTCAATATCGCAGGGGGATACCTTTTTAAGATATTATGTCATTTTAGGCCTTTATTATATTATTTATGCTGACATGTAATAATATAAAAAGCAACTCTTACCCCACCCACATCACACACACTCGCACGCACACACGCACGTGAGCACACACATACGTACGCACTCACACACATACACGCATCAAAACCCCATGATAATAGAAAGAAATGCATAGATGATAATATTTTCTCCCCCGAACAAGATGATAAGCATTGCAGTTAGCTGAAGCAACGTACTTTGGAAACGCATGTGTGATAGCCTAGTGGTTAAAGAGTTAGCTCGTCACACTGAAGATCCAGGTTCTGTCCTGGTGTCGCCAGTCTTCACAATGTTAGAGTCGTTGCTAATTCTACCATGAGTGTGTCAGTCAGAGGTATCATTTAGAAGACAAACATACTGTGTTATCAATGCAGAGCTAGGTTACTTGTAGATTTAATCGCGCTAAATTGAATTTAAAACTCTAAATATTTGCTGACACCAAAGAGTTCGCGTTTTATATTGTCATGGTCGAATGGAGACAAGCATACTGATTTAACAGCGCTGAATTCAACATCTGAAACTTCATTCAATTGAGCGGTTAAATCTACAAATAACCTAGCTCTACATTGAATACACAATAAGTTTATCCCCTAAATATACACTCACTCCCTTACTTGATGCGGTCACCACTAAATATACACTCACTCCCTCACTTGATGCGGTCTCCACTAAATATACACTCACTTTTTCACTTGATGCCGTCTCCACTAAATATACACTCACTCCCTCACTTGATGCGGTCTCCACTAAATATACACTCACTTCCTCACTTGATGCCGTCTCCACTAAATATACACTCATTCCCTCACTTGATGCGGTCATCACTAAATATACGCTCATTCCCTCACTTGATGCGGTCTCCACTAAATATACACTCACTCCCTCACTTGATGCGGTCTCCACTAAATATACACTCACTCCCTCACTTGATGCGGTCTCCACTAAATATACACTCACTCCCTCACTTGATGCGGTCTCCACGAAATATACACTCATTCCCTCACTTGATGCCGTCGCCACTAAATATACACTCACTCCCTCACTTGATGCGGTCTACAGGTGCTGACCTCGTGTTCGAGGACGAAGTATCGACCATACAGAGCGAGGTGTCGTTGCTGACGCAGCAGGGCATCAACAAGATCATTGCCGTCGGTCACTCAGGGTTCCACGTGGACAAGCGGATAGCTGAGTCCGTGGAGGGAGTTGACGTGGTTGTAGGGGGCCACGACAACACTTTTCTATATACAGGTGAGTGGCTTACCATTTTCGCGAACACCTGGTGTCATCACTGATTTTGGTATCCAGTCATATAATGTTCACAGATATATTGCTTTTTTAGCCCAATGGAACGTTTCGTTGGAAAATCGAGACTGTTTTTTCTCTAGAATTGACGTTTTATATACTCAATGTACGCCCGTAAGTACACAGACGAGACATTTATATATCACAGTCTTCTTGAGTCGGCCATATTCAACTTGTTATTACTCAGTTTCGTGTATCATAGAATCATATGAATATCCTTGTAAAATATGAGTGGTATATAAACAAGTGAGACCCACTCGGGTACATGTGTAACAAGACGCTTGGGTGGCATATTTCTCATATATTCTCGCGAACACCCGGTGTCCTCACTGATTTTCAGTGATCCATTCATAAAATTTTCACCGCTTTTTTTGCCGTTAATCGAGACTGGTTACTTTCTGGCGTTGACGTTTCGTATCTCCGGGTGCAGTTCGCCAGTCGTTTAAAGGCGCCGCAGTTAGCGGTGCATAGGTGCGTTCTTAGTGGACAAGGAACCTCTGATTGTGGGTGCTGCCTTATCATGATTCTTGCTTTGTCAGCACCATACCGTGGTTTTATGCGTCTAGGTGTACGTGCACCTATACTTTTCGTTTTCTTGTCACATTCAGTTGTCGTTGATGGACTTATCAAAGCGTGTCACAACCTTTCACATACTCACTATTCTAAGTACTATCTGGTCGAGTTTTCATCTAGCTTTCTGTTTTAGGACCGGGGGCATGGGTGGCTAAGTCGTCTAAGGCGCCGCGATTCTCTGTTCAGAGTTGCGTCCCTTGGGCACGCCAGGAACCTATGATTGTGGGTTCGAATCGCGGTTCACCCCGATTATGTTTCTAGGTTTGTCAGCACCATACCCGTGCATGTGGGTTTCACCGAAGTAGTAAACGTCTGAGACTGCATCACTTCGGGCTTTGCTCCAACATTAAGCAGACACGTCGCGATATAACTGTATTACTGTTAAAAGCGGCGTTAAACCCAACTCACTCACTCAATGTTTTAGGACCACATCCGTCAAATGAGGAACCGGAAGGAGAGTATCCCCACGTGGTGACCCAGACGGGAGGGGCCAAGGTGCTCGTGGTGCAGGACTATGCTTACGGGAAGTATCTTGGAGATCTGGAAGTGACCTTTGACCCGGAAGGTGTCATCACGTCATGGGGAGGTAATCCAATTCTTCTGGACAACAACACGGCGCAAGGTGGGTAACTTGGTTGGTATCATAACGTGCTTGGCCATACAACGCAGGGTTGGTATCATAATGCGGTTGGCAACACAAATACAGGGTTGGTATCATAACGTGCTTGGCAACACAATACAGGGTTGGTATCATAACGTGCTGGGCCATACAACACAGGGTTGGTATCATAACGTGCTTGGCCATACAACACAGGGTTGGTATCATAACGTGCTGGGCCATACAACACAGGTTGTTATCATAACGTGCTTGGCAATACAACACAGGGTTGATATCATAACGTGCTGGGCCATACAACACAGGGTTGGTATCATAACGTGCTGGGCCATACAACACAGGGTTGGTATCATAACGTGCTGGGCCATACAACACAGGGTTGGTACCATAACATGCTGGGCCATACAACACAGGGTTGATGTCATAACGTGCTGGGCCATACAACACAGGGTTGGTATCATAACGTGCTTGGCCATACAACACAGGGTTGGTATCATAACGTGCTTTGCCATACAACACAGGGTTGATACCATAACGTGCTGGGCCATACAACACAGGGTTGATATCATAACGTGCTGGGCCATACAACACAGGGTTGGTATCATAACGTGCTTGGCCATACAGCACAGGGTTGGTATCATAATTAACATGATTGGTATCACAGGTTTGATATAGCAAAATTGGCAACACAGAGTTGATACTATAACGTGCCTGGCAACACAGCACAGGGTTGGTATCCTAACGTGCTGGGCCATACAACACAGGGTTGGTATCATAACGTGCTGGGCCATACAACACAGGACTGATACCATAACATGCTGGGCCATACAACGCAGGGTTGGTATCATAACGTGCTGGGCCCTACAACACAGGGTTGGTATCATAACGTGCCTGGCCATACAACACAGGGTTGGTATCATAACGTGCTGGGCCATACAACACAGGGTTGTTATCAGAACGTGCTTGGCAATACAACACAGGGTTGATATCATAACGTGCTGGGCCATACAACACAGGGTTGGTATCATAACGTGCTGGGCCATACAACACAGGGTTGGTATCATAACGTGCTTGGCCATACAACACAGGGTTGGTACCATAACGTGCTGGGGCATACAACACAGGGTTGATATCATAACGTGCTTGGCCATACAACACAGGGTTGGTATCATAACGTGCTGGGCCATACAACACAGGGTTGGTACCATAACGTGCTGGGCCATACAACACAGGGTTGATATCATAACGTGCTGGGCCATACAACACAGGGTTGGTATCATAACGTGCTTGGCCATACAGCACAGGGTTGGTATCATAATTAACATGATTGGTATCACAGGTTTGATATAACAAAATTGGCAACACAGAGTTGATACTATAACGTGCCTGGCAACACAACACAGGGTTGGTACCATAACGTGCTGGGTCATACAACACAGGGTTGGTATCATAACGTGCTGGGCCATACAACACAGGGTTGGTAGCATAACGTGCTGGGCCATACAGCACAGGGTTGGTATCATAACGTGCTTGGCCCTACAATACAGGGTTGGTATCATAACGTGCTTGGCTATAAAATACGGGGTTGGTATCATAACGTTCTTGGCTATACAACACAGGGTTAGTATCATAACGTGCTTTGCCATACAATACAGGGTTGGTATCCTAACGTGCTTGGCTATACAACACAGGGTTGGTATCCTAACGTGCTTGGCCATACAACACAGGGTTGGTATCCTAACGTGCTGGGCCATACAACACAGGGTTGATACCATAACGTGCTGGGCCATACAACACAGGGTTTATATCATAACGTGCTGGGCCATACAACACAGGGTTGGTATCATAACGTGCTTGGCCATACAGCACAGGGTTGGTATCATAATTAACATGATTGGTATCACAGGTTTGATATAGCAAAATTGGCAACACAGAGTTGATATTATAACGTGCCTGGCAACACAGCACAGGGTTGGTATCCTAACGTGCTGGGCCATACAACACAGGGTTGGTATCATAACGTGCTGGGCCATACAACACAGGATTGATACCATAACATGCTGGGCCATACAACGCAGGGTTGGTATCATAACGTGCTGGGCCATACAACACAGGGTTGTTATCAGAACGTGCTTGGCAATACAACACAGGGTTGATATCATAACGGGCTGGGCCATACAACACAGGGTTGGTACCATAACGTGCTGGGCCATACAACACAGGGTTGGTATCATAACGTGCTTGGCCATACAACACAGGGTTGGTATCATAACGTGCTGGGCCATACAACACAGGGTTGGTACCATAACGTGCTGGGCCATACAACACAGGGTTGTTATCAGAACGTGCCTGGCAACACAACACAGGGTTGGTATCAAAACGTGCTGGGCCATACAACACAGGGTTGGTATCATAACGTGCTTGGCCATACAACACAGGGTTGGTACCATAACGTGCTGGGGCATACAACAGAGGGGTGCTTTCATAACGTGCTTGGCCATACAACACAGGGTTGGTATCATAACGTGCTGGGCCATACAACACAGGGTTGGTACCATAACGTGCTGGGCCATACAACACAGGGTTGATATCATAACGTGCTGGGCCATACAACACAGGGTTGGTATCATAACGTGCTTGGCCATACAGCACAGGGTTGGTATCATAATTAACATGATGGGTATCACAGGTTTGATATAACAAAATTGGCAACACAGAGTTGATACTATAACGTGCCTGGCAACACAACACAGGGTTGGTACCATAACGTGCTAGGCCATACAACACAGGGTTGGTATCCTAACGTGCTGGGCCATACAACACAGGGTTGGTACCATAACGTGCTGGGTCATACAACACAGGGTTGGTATCATAACGTGCTGGGCCATACAACACAGGGTTGGTAGCATAACGTGCTGGGCCATACAGCACAGGGTTGGTATCATAACGTGCTTGGCCCTACAATACAGGGTTGGTATCATAACGTGCTTGGCTATACAATACGGGGTTGGTATCATAACGTTCTTGGCTATACAACACAGGGTTAGTATCATAACGTGCTTTGCCATACAATACAGGGTTGGTATCATAACGTGCTTGGCTATACAACACAGGGTTGGTATCCTAACGTGCTTGGCCACTCAATACAGGGTTGGTATCAAAATGTTCTTGGCTATACACCACAGGGTTGGTATCATAACGAGCTTGGCCATACAACGCAGGTTGGTATCATAACGTCCCTTTGCAACAGGTTTGGTATCATAATTAACATGATTTGTATCACAGGTTTGATATAACAAAATTGGCAACACAGAGTTGATACTACAACGTGCCTGGCAACACAGCACAGGGTTGGTATCCTAACGTGCTTGGCCATACAACACAGGGTTGGTATCCTAACGTGCTTGGCAACACAGCAAAAGGTTGCACACCACCAACGGTTGATATTATTCGTGATTGACGTTGCGGGGCGTCATGGTTCGTCTGAACACGTTGTAACCTTTGTGTTGTAGACGTGTCGACCTTGACCTTCTTGGAGCCATACATCCAGCAGATAGACGAGACTGCCTATGAAATCGTCGGCAAGTCCCACGTACCTTTACAGGGGGAGAAGGCAATCTGCAGACGGCGGGAATGCAATCTTGGTGAGGATTTGGATCGACAGAACTTTCCATTGCTGACAATTATATCTCCAAATATGGTTTCGTACTGTCAGATAAATATATGTGTTGTTATTGCCGGCTCATAATTTGCAATAATATTTCTAGCAGATACTGTACCATGTGTAGTCACAAAGTATTAGGTTTATAAATTATAGTGACCTTCTTGAGAGGGATGTGGGAAACTCCAAGCCCAAGGTTTCACAAGCAATGATAATCCTACAACTTGACACCCCTATTACACTTGGACCCGCTCTGAGAGCATTTGCAGCCCGATTGCATGTAAATGCACGTGCACATTCCTGAAAGTTAGTAATACTGAATCGTGTAATAACATCATCCATGGATATATTACATAATAAACTCAAAACACACACCGCAAATACCGGGTATAATCCCCCTTTAGAAAAAATGCACCGATCACGACCGCCATCTTAGAAAACTACAATAATTTATTGTCGAATTACGTCAATTTTTTTAGCTATGACGTCGTTCCTAGTGTGACGACATTCCGACCTTACGTCGCATTATAGCTAAAATGGATAGAATTATCATTAAACCGCCCGCATGTTATCAGAAATGAGCGGGCCACTGTAACTTCAATAGTGACGTCGTCTGGTTTGTTCTCTGACGTTTCCATATTTGTAAAAGTGGGCCAGTGACATTCGTGTTGTTTGCAGTAAATGTTTCCAAACCGATATTGTTTCTTTTTATCTTACAGCAAATTCCATCAATTTTAGCTATAATGAGGGTAACGCTATTTTTCAGGGCATTATCATTTACAGAAGCCCTCGGTCTTTTCAACAGCCCTGCTTCGTCGGTCAGTTAATTGAAGACCTCGGGCTTCTGCAAATGATAATGCCCTGAAAAATAGCGTTACCCTTATAATAAGATTCGAGTGACGTCAACAATGCCGTCCGGATGACTAACTAATACACTGGTGCGCGTGAAGTAATATTTGCACTAGTGCACATGTGATTTTTATGAACTCGATGGGTAATACAATATTTTCATTACCTGTTCATTCCGTGCTGTGTATTGTTGTTACTGCCAGATGAAGTAAAACACATTGTCGTTACCGTCACATAATGTAATGTGTGTTGTCAACTCGATAGGCAATGTGATCACAGACAGCATGGTAAAACAAAACATCAAGCATTCCGACTCCCTCTACTGGAACAACGTCAGCATCGCCATCACCAACTCAGGGGGCATCAGATCCTCTATCCCCAAAGGTGAGACAATCTCCTATCCCCAAAAGTGAAATAAGTTCCTGTCCCCAAAGGTGAAATAATCTCCTATCCCCAAAGGTGAAATAATCTCCTATCCCTAAATGTGAAATTATTTCCTATCCCCAAGGTGAAATAATCTCCTATCCCCAAAGGTAAAATAAATTCCTGTCCCCAAAGGTGAAATAATCTCCTAGCTATCCCCAAAGGTGAGACAATCTCCTATCCCCAAAGGTGAAATAATCTCCTAGCTATCCCCAAAGGTGAGACAATCTCCTATTCCCAAAGGTGAAATAATTTCCTATCCACAAAGGTGAAATAATCTCCTTCCCCAAGGCTAAGACAATCTCTTATTCCCAAAGGTGAAATAATTTCATATCCCCAAAGGTGAAATAATCTCCTATCCCCAAAGGTGAAATAATTTCCTATTCCTAAAGGTGAAATAATCTCCTATCTCCAATGGTGAGACAATCTCGAATCCCCAAAGGTGAGATAATCACCTATCCCCAAAGGTGAAATAATTTCCTATCCCCCAAGATGAGACCACCTCCTATCCCCAAAGGTGAGACAACCTCCTATCCCTAAAGGTGAGCCTCTCTCTAAAGTCAACTCGCCCCCACCATGTGCTTTGAACTCCAAACCTACTGTTGTCTCAATGGTTCTCATCGCCAGTGTCACTGGATTTACATTGTTTGATTCTGGAATACATTAGCTCCCCACTAACGAATGCATATTGTATGATGATCCGTCATCCTCACCCGATGGCGTGGATCGCTAGTCAACTATGCCAATACATGTGTACATAGAACCACGTAGAAACTCGGCGTAAGAGGAGGTCTGGGTAAGAGCCGACTAAAACAGGGCTGGAGTGGTCAGGTTCTGTTCAGATGATTGTTTTTCACAGTAACCGTTTGCCTGGCCGTTATTAATAATTTCAGCCATTGGTCTCTCTGGTCCACTCAATTTTTACACGGGTGTTAATAAAACTGATATTTCTGGTTACGGCGTTAACTAACATTCGCTCACTCACAATTTGCCATCTGTAGGTGACATCACCATCGGACAGGTGGCCACTGTTCTCCCCTTCAGTAACACTATCGACATCGTAGAACTGTATGGACGCCACATTAAGGCTGCTTTCGAGCACTCGGTGTCGTATCACAACACGGATGAAAGATCCGGGGCCTTTCTACAAGTATCAGGTATGTTCATTCCCCCATTTCGTCTTGTCATTGTGGGGGGTCGGGTAGACTAGTGGTTAAAGCGTTCGCTCCTCGCGCCGGGACCGGGTTCGATTCCCGCACATTCTGGAATATTGCTAAAAGCGGCGTAAAACCATACTCACTCACTCGTTCATAGTAAGTCTGCACAGACACTGGAGCTGGGGTCGACCATCGATCTTCTGGTGATTTCCTGAGTGTAAGGTTAACAGTAGGTCAACTATAAAGGGGCGCAACTAGGCTAATCTTAAGTGTAAGCAAAACCAGTTTTACGATCTCACCAACGGTCTTTGTGTCCACCCTCCCCAGCAGAATTGTTTTAAATTTAGATGCTCTTAACCGCCTTTTCCTTCATTATGGAGCCGTTTGTGTTAGATTTTATTTGTAACAATCATTGGTAATTTATTTATTATATTATTTTTATAAGTAATATATGTACGTGCTTCACCAACACATATTCGACTTTCATTCAAGAAACATCTGTGATGACAATTAAAACGGTAGCATGTGATGGTTATTTATATTTGTCATATTTTAACGCGGGCCGACCTATCATTGTAATGAAAATAATTTAGACAATAAATATGTTCGACCATGTAGTTTGAATTTATAATTTACTGAATAGATGGTACATTGAGGTTTACTTATTTTTAAAACATTGTGCTTTTTTAAGGTGTAAGCAGTTGCATTTCCGCTTCAATTGTAGTTTTGCCCCTGCTATCATTTCCTCCTTTCACGGAACACAAACCACTTGATAGGCTAAGAAATATGGGGAATCTTGATGATGATGATGGTGATTAACGAGCGCTTCCGGAGGACCTGATTTCGTACTCTGTTGGAAAAGCTTACCGTGTCTTCTGTTGATAAGAATTTCAGTTGGTTAGTGATGCTCGTTGTTCTGTTTATTTTATAAGCTTAACCTGTTGCCAAGCGACTGATTACGTTTGGCATACTGCTTACCCGTCTCGTGTCCACAGGGTTGAAGATTGAGTTTGACATCTCCCGTCCCGTGGGTTCTCGGGTGACCCGACTGCGGGCATTGTGTACCAGATGCGAGGTGCCGATATACGAGGACGTTCAGCCAGGTCAGATCTACCAGGTCATAATGCCTTCCTTTATTGCTGATGGAGGGGACTTTTACGACGTCATTAACGACAACAAAGTCAAGCATCATCTCATAGGTGAGACCGCCTGTGACGGGAGAATATGTACCAGGTGCAGCAAGTGTGACGCATGTGACAAATGAGACGTGCGTGACGTGCGTGGTTATTGTTACATGCGTGGGAATGAGACGTACGTAGTGAATGAGACGTACGTAGTGAATGAGACGTGCGTGTAGCATTACACGTTTTGAAAGTGAAGTGCGTGGCGAATGACACGTGAGTGGCGAATGTGACATACGCGGGAATGAGACGTACGTTGTGAAATTAGACTTGCGTGGTGAATGACACGTTTTGAATGTGAAGTGCTTGACGAATGTGAAGAACGAAGTGAATGTGACGTGTGTGACCGATGAAGCCATTGTACGTGGCGTGTGTGAATGTGTGACAGCTTTTCTGGGTGTCGCCGCTGTGGGAAATGTGGCGAGGGTGTGACAGTGTGACGTGTGTGGCTTATGTAACTTGTGTGACGGGTCTGGCGAAAGTACTGTGCGTGAAGTGTCTGTGCGTGACGAATATAAAACGTGTGTGACGGGTTTGGCGAAATTAACGTGCGTGACAGTGTAGGTGTGTGACGAATGTAAAACGTGTGTGACGGGTCTGGCGAAAGTAAGCCTGTGTGTGAAGGGTGTGGCGGGCGTGACGTGTGTGGTGAATGTGATGTGTGTGGTGAATGTAACGTGTGTGGTGAATGTGACGTGTATGGTGAATGTAACGGGTGTGGTGAATGTAACGTATGTGGTGAATGTGACGTGTGTGGTGAATGTGATGTGTGTGGTGAATGTGATGTGTGTGGTGAATCTAACGGGTGTGGTGGATGTGACGTGTGTGGTGGATGTGACATGTGTGGTGAATGTGATGTGTGTGGTGAATCTAACGTGGTGAATGTAACGGGTGTGGTGCATGTGATGTGTGTGGTAAATGTGATGTGTGTGGTGAATGTGATGTGTGTGGTGAATGTAACGTGTGTGGTGAATGTGACGTGTATGGTGAATGTGACGTGTATGGTGAATGTAACGTGTGTGGTGAATGTAATGGGTGTTGTGAATGTAACGTGTGTGGTGAATGTAACGTGTGTGGTGAATGTAACGTGTGTGGTGAATGTCACGTGTGTGGTGATTGTAACGTGTGTGGTGAATGTAATGGGTGTGGTGAATGTAACGTGTGTGGTGAATGTAACGTGTGTGGTGAATGTGACGTGTGTGGTACATGTGATGTGTGTGGTGAATGTGACGTGTGTAGTACATGTGATGTGTGTGGTGAATGTAACGGGTGTGGTGAATGTGACGTGTATGGTGAATGTAACGTGTGTGGTGAATGTGACGTGTATGGTGAATGTAACGGGTGTGGTGAATGTAACGTCTATGGTAAATGTGACGTGTGTGGTGAATGTAACGGGTGTGGTGAATGTAACGGGTGTGGTGAATGTAACGTGTGTGGTGCATGTAACGTGTGTGGTGAATGTGACGTGTATGGTAAATGTGACGTGTGTGGTGAATGTAACGTGCGTGGTGAATGTGACGTGTGTGGTGAATGTAACGTGTGTGGTGAATGTAACGGGTGTGGTGAATGTAACGTGTGTGGTGCATGTAACGTATGTGGTGAATGTGACGTGTGTGGTGAATGTGATGTGTGTGGTGAATGTGATGTGTGTGGTGAATCTAACGGGTGTGGTGGATGTGACGTGTGTGGTGGATGTGACATGTGTGGTGAATGTGATGTGTGTGGTGAATCTAACGTGGTGAATGTAACGGGTGTGGTGCATGTGATGTGTGTGGTAAATGTGATGTGTGTGGTGAATGTGATGTGTGTGGTGAATGTAACGTGTGTGGTGAATGTGACGTGTATGGTGAATGTGACGTGTATGGTGAATGTAACGTGTGTGGTGAATGTAATGGGTGTTGTGAATGTAACGTGTGTGGTGAATGTAACGTGTGTGGTGAATGTAACGTGTGTGGTGAATGTCACGTGTGTGGTGATTGTAACGTGTGTGGTGAATGTAATGGGTGTGGTGAATGTAACGTGTGTGGTGAATGTAACGTGTGTGGTGAATGTGACGTGTGTGGTACATGTGATGTGTGTGGTGAATGTGACGTGTGTAGTACATGTGATGTGTGTGGTGAATGTAACGGGTGTGGTGAATGTGACGTGTATGGTGAATGTAACGTGTGTGGTGAATGTGACGTGTATGGTGAATGTAACGGGTGTGGTGAATGTAACGTCTATGGTAAATGTGACGTGTGTGGTGAATGTAACGGGTGTGGTGAATGTAACGGGTGTGGTGAATGTAACGTGTGTGGTGCATGTAACGTGTGTGGTGAATGTGACGTGTATGGTAAATGTGACGTGTGTGGTGAATGTAACGTGCGTGGTGAATGTGACGTGTGTGGTGAATGTAACGTGTGTGGTGAATGTAACGGGTGTGGTGAATGTAACGTGTGTGGTGAATGTGACGCGTGTGGTGAATGTGACATGTATGGTGAATGTAACGTGTATGGTAAATGTGACGTGTGTGGTGAATGTAACGTGTGTGGTGAATGTGACGTGTGTGGTGAATGTAACGTGTGTGGTGAATGTAACGTGTGTGGTGAATGTAACGTGTGTGGTGAATGTGACGCGTGTGGTGAATGTGACGCGTGTGGTGAATGTGACGTGTATGGTAAATGTAACGTGTGTGGTGAATGTAACGTGTGTGGTGAATGTGACGTGTATGGTAAATGTGACGTCTGTGGTTAATGGGACGTGTATGGCAAATGTGACGTGTGTGGTGAATGTAACGTGTGTGGTGAATATGACGTGTGTGGTGAATGTGACGTGTATGGTAAATGTAACGTGTGTGGTGAATGTGACGTGTGTGGTGAATGTGACGTGTATGGTAAATGTGACGTGTATGGTGAATGTAACGTGTGTGGTGAATGTAACGAGTGTGGTAAATGTGACGTGTGTGGTGAATGTGACGTGTATGGTAAATGTGACGTGTATGGTGAATGTAACGTGTGTGGTGAATGAAACGTGTGTGGTGAATGTGACGTGTGTGGTGAATGTGACGTGTATGGTAAATGTGACGTCTGTGGTGAATGTAACGTCTATGGTAAATGTGACGTGTGTGGTGAATGTAACGTCTATGGTAAATGTGACGTCTGTGGTGAATGCGACGTGTATGGTGAATGTAACGTGTGTGGTGAATGTAACGGGTGTGGTGAATGTAACGTGTGTGGTGCATGTAACGTGTATGGTGAATGTGACGTGTGTGGTGAATGTAACGTGTGTGGTGAATGTAACGTGTGTGGTGAATGTAACGTGTGTGGTGAATGTGACATGTGTGGTGAATGTGACGTGTATGGTAAATGTGACGTGTATGGTGAATGTAACGTGTGTGGTGAATGTGACGTGTATGGTAAATGTGACGTGTGTGGTGAATGTAACGTCTATGGTAAATGTGACGTCTGTGGTGAATGTGACGTGTATGGTAAATGTGACGTGTATGGTGAATGTAACGTGTGTGGTGAATGTAACGTGTGTGGTGAATGTGACGTGTGTGGTGAATGTGACGTGTATGGTAAATGTGACGTGTGTGGTGAATGTAACGTCTATGGTAAATGTGACGTCTGTGGTGAATGTGACGTGTATGGTGAATGTAACGGGTGTGGTGAATGTAACGGGTGTGGTGAATGTAACGTGTGTGGTGCATGTAACGTGTATGGTGAATGTGACGTGTGTGGTGAATGTAACGTGTGTGGTGAACGTAATGGGTGTTGTGAATGTAACGTGTGTGGTGAATGTGACGTGTATGGTGAATGTGACGTGTGTGGTGAATGTGACGTCTGTGGTGCATGTAACGTGTGTGGTGAATGTAACGTGTGTGGTGAATGTGACGTGTATGGTGAATGTAACGTGTGTGGTGAATGTGACGTGTATGGTGAATGTAACGTGTGTGGTGAATGTAACGTGTATGGCAAATGTGATGTGTATGGTGAATGTGATGTGTATGGTGAATGTAACGTGTATGGCAAATGTGACGTGTATGGTGAATGTGATGTGTGTGGTGAATGTGATGTGTGTGGTGAATGTAACGTGTGTGGTGAATGTGACGTGTGTGGTGAATGTAACGTGTGTGGTGAATGTAACGTGTGTGGTGAATGTGAAGTTTGTGGTGAATGTGACGTGTATGGTGAATGTAACGTGTGTGGTGAATCTAATGGGTGTGGTGAATGTAACGGGTGTGTTGCATGTGATGTGTGTGGTGAATGTGATATGTGTGGTGAATGTGATGTGTGTGGTGAATGTAACGGGTGTGGTGAATGTGACGTGTATGGTGAATGTGACGTGTATGGTGAATGTAACGTGTGTGGTGAATGTAACGGTTGTGGTGAATTTAATGGGTGTGGTGAATGTAACGTGTGTGGTGAATGTTATGTGTGTGGTGAATGTGATGTGTGTGGTGAATGTAACGGGTGTGGTGAATGTGATGTGTATGGTGAATGTGATGTGCGTGATGAATGTGATGTGTGTGGTGAATGTGATGTGTATGGTGAATGTAACGTGTGTGGTGGATATGCTGTGCGTGACGAGTGTAACGAGAGGTAATACTCAAACACATGATACTTATGTGTGCAGTGACACACACGTATTACATTAAGTGTTTGGGGTCAATTACACGCGTGGTTGTAGTTGTGTTGTTAGTTACACTCACTCACTCCTGTTTTCTTTTCTTTGGTGTCTGATTACTTCTGTCGATGTAAATGTGAGTAAACATATGGTTGGAACAAGGACAAACAGCGACACGGAGGTTTTTCAGCGGCGTATGACAATGAACATGAGAAACGTTAACGAGGGGAAAAAATAATCATCGCATTCAAAAACATCCTAAGATGAACGATCAGCTCTATATCTCAAAGATATTTTTGAGAAATATATATGTTTGGGGTAACTGTGGAGTTAAAGGGGTTTAGGTAGGCGGGGCTAATAACAGGGTCGGGTGTGGACGGTGTCAAAAGAAGGGGTATGGGTAGGCGGGTTGA